ACGGTCCGCCTTCGCCGCCCTCGTCCCCTCCCACCTCCCCCCCCCCCCCCCTTCCCGCCTCCCGCCCTAGACCCTTCCTGCGTCGTTGTTTGCTCTTCCTACTCTCTTGCTTCATCTGTTGCCCTCTCTACCAACTATACGACCCGGATGAAATACCAACAGACAAGAGTCTGTCCCGTACAGTAACGGAATTGCGAGGCTGGGAGGTGGCTGTGAAACAAGGGAAGGCCAGTGCCACGCCAGCGTGCTCAGCCGCTTCGAGGGCGGGAGGTAAAGAGAGTGAAGAGATCGACCGCGTCACCGCTTGGTGCGCGCCGACGACCCCGAGGGCTCCGTCCAGTCCAGTCAGAACCGGGGCGGTGGGCCGTGTCCACCGTGCCTGACCAGGTCCATCACGACGCCGTATCGCCATGCCAAGGCTGTCGGCGTCGTCGGCGGCGGAACGAGACCAGCGCAGGCAAAAGCGTTTCCACGCCGGCTTTGCGCGCCGTCTTCCCCTCCCGCCGTTTTCGATGGGGCACCTGCCCCGCACCACAACGCCAGACCAGGAGGCCAGGCCCGTCTATCCGCTTGCAAGTCATCGCTCGCCTGCCAACGAGGACCTCTTGGGTTATGTGAGCAAGACATGTGCGGTGGCGGGCAGAGGGCCACGGTCCATCCGAACCTTACACGCCGCCTGCGCGCGCCGCAAAGATGGAACGCGTTCAGCGCAGCCGGTCTTGCGACAGCGCAGGCATGCCGGCGGCGAACACAAAGCCTGAGGGCACGTGGAGCGGGGTATTCATTCGGATCTGATATGGTATCGCCCTCTTCCCACCACGCATTTCCATGCTCAACAATGGCGGCGGCCAGCACAGCACGGCACGGCATGACTGGGGGATGCGCGGCGCGGGGAGGCGCTCAACATCCACCGCCACCGCCACCACCGCCGCCGCAGCCGCCACCACCGCCAAAACCACCGCCACCGCCACCGCCGCACCCTCCGCCGCCAAAACCGCCGCCGCCGCAGCCGCCAGCGCCAAACCCTCCTCCGCCGACACCGCCGCCACAGCCGGCCGCTCCGATCCCGGCGAACCCGATCGCGCCGGCCGTGTACATCGCTCCGTGCGACGCGATGTGCGACGACCGGTTCTCGTTTTCGATGTAGAGATGGGCGTGGACCGGCGAGTGGTAGAAGGGGTAAAGGCCCGGTTCGGCGTACCCGAAGCTGCGAAGGCGATCATGGAAGAGAGAAAAGGAGAAGGACAGGACAGTCAAAGAGTCGGGTTGGTCAGCGGAGCCCGACCACGACGCGCTTCCGATGCCAGGCGACGAGGCGACGAGGCCGACGCTCACACGAATGCGCTCTCGTGGCCGCCGCGGCGCTTGCCCGAGCGCCACCCTTGCTCCATCTCGGCCTTGATGGCCTCGTGCCTCTCGATGCCGTCCTTGAGGATGACGGCGTTGTGCGACGAAGGGTGGCTCTGCTCGAGCCACTGCCCGTTGTCGTCGGCCTGGTCGCCGGGCAGCGCCTTGCTCCTGCGCCACTTGGCCTTGAGCGAGCCCGCCTTGCCACCGTCGCCGGCGCCGCTGCTGCTTCCAAACAGGGTCTTGACCCGCGATGCCGCGCTGGGCGCCTCGTAGGTGCAGCCGCACAGGCTGTACGGCTGGCCGTACTTGCTTCGCCACAGGCTCGCCGTCTTCTTAAAGGCATCCTTGAGCGCCCCCATCTCGACCGTGTCGTCGTCTGGAGGCGGTCGCCGGGGGGTGCGAGGTGCGAGGAAGCAGGCAGGCGGTCAAATGCGTTGATAAGGGTCAGCTCTAGATGTACCACGAACAACAAACGCAACGGCCTAGGCAGGGCTCGCAGGAGGGGGGACTCCACTCACGACCGACAAAGCGACCGACGCTGCGCTTGACGTCGTTGCGGTACTTGCGATTGAGCATGTGCGTGTGCCACGCGAGATCGATGTCGAGGGTCGGCGAAAGCATCATGGTGACGCCGTAGAGGAGGTTGAGCCAGCGATGGTAACGCACCAGACTCCGGGCCAGCAGGTCCTCCATGGGCTTGCTCTCCATGAGCTCGGGCGAGGCGTTGCTCCACCCGAGCTTCTGCATGTCGATGTTGAAGGCCGTCTGGCGCTTGACGGCCGCGCACATGTCGTACAGCCCCTCGCCAAACGCCGGCGCGGAGCCGTTGTCGTAGCAGCGCATGATGAGGGCGGTGCGCGCCAGGACGTGCTGGCGATCGCGTTCGGAGCGGAGCATGGGCCGCACCGCCGGTTCGACCGACTTGGCGGTGAGGTAGAGCTGGAAGTTGGACATGCTGTAGGCCAAGTCGCGGCAGAGGTCGTCAATGTCGCACGTCTCGGTCCTGGCCAGGTTCTGCAGGATGGGGGGCTCGGTGGCCCCGGACGGCTTCTCGTGGTCAAAGACGGGCTGGAAGACAAACTCGCCGATCCGGTCGTCGTCGAGCTTGGCGCCCGTGTAGGGATGGAGCGAGCTGCCGGCCATGAAGAAGCACTCGGAATGCACGCCCGTCTGCGGGTCGACCTCGGAGCGGCCGGGGCTTTTGCGCCATCGATCAAAGTCGAGCAGGAAGCGCGCAGTCTGGAGCGTGTCTGCCGAGATGGCCTGGGCGCAGCGGCCTCGAGGGCCATTGCTGCCGCACTGGCGCGTCCACCCGTTCTCGCCGATGCCCTTGTCGGCGGCGGCCTTGCCTCGGCCGGTCCAGGGGACAAAGGTCTTGGCCCTGCAGCGCGGGCAGGCGACGCGCAGGCCAAAGTTGGTGCCGCCGTGGACCTCCTGGGCGGCGCTCGGGTAGGCTGAGGGGGGCTGGAGCGGGAGGTGGTAGGGCTGGGCGCAGTCTGCTGCGGCCGTGACGTGGTCCTCCCAGTAGGCGACGGCGGCGTCGATGCGGGCGAGGGCGAGCGAGTTGGGGTCGATGCGCTCGGCGAGCTGGGCGAGAGGGTAGGAAAAGTACGAGATGAGGCGGCGCGAGGGCATGCGGACGCCGTCGTCGCGCATGCGGCGCGGGTTGAGGAAGTAGCTGTGCAGCACCAGCGCGACGTCGAGCGGGGGCAGGACGTGGTCCGGCAGCACGCCCGTGTCCCTGGCGGCGTCGAGGAGCGGGTCGTCGAGCAGGAGGACGCGCGTGAGCCACAGCTCGAGGCGGTGGGCTGCGCGCGAGAGGTAGATGGCCCAGCGACGCTCGCGCTGCAGCTGGAGCGACATTTCGCGGATGGCACGGTCGACGGCGGCGGGGTCGGTGGGATGTGCGGCATTGGCGCCCAACGACGACGACAACAGCGGCGGCGGCGGGTCGGCCGTGGGCGTGTAGGGCGGGGGAGCAGAGTCGATTCCGGCCTCGGGGTCTCGGGCTCCAGCCTCGATGCTGGCGGGCAAGGGCGGGTAGGAGTGCAGCTCGACCTCGTCCTGGACGGCGAGCTTGAGGCGGTCAAAGAGGTTGAGGAGCTTGAGGTGGTTGCGCATGTCGTCGGTCGAGACAAAGGGCATGGTGGTGACGTGGCCGACGCGGATGCCGCGGGCGAGCGTCTGCTGGACCAGGCGGTTCTCTTGGTCGCTGAGCGGCGGACCGAGGGCGGGGACGGGTGCAGAGGGGGCGGTGGCGCTGGCGGTGGCGGTGGCGGTGGTGGTGGCCTCGACCGGTGGCGTCGCTGGTCCCGCCTCGTCGGACTCGGTCTGGGGCGTCGAGGAGGCGCTGCCGCTCGAGTTGGAGGCGTCATTGCCGTCGCAGCTGCTGCTGCCCGCGCTGGTGGCGATGGCAGAGGCGGAGGCGGAGGCGGAGGCGGAGCTGCTAGAGGCGTGGCTGGGGTGGTTGGACAGGCTGCCATAGGTTGGCGGAGGCGCCCGCGGGGGCGGCTGCTGTGCGGTCGTGGCCGCCGACATGGTGGCGGTGGCGGCAGTGGCGGTGGCCTACTCGGCGAGAGTTGGCGGACTGGCCCCTGATCCTTGTCGAGAGTGGCAGATGAGGGAGGAGTGGCAGATACGGGAGGCTAGCCTGGGTCTTGCAACGGGATAGGCGAGGCGAGGGGGGCAGGCCGAAGATGGACGCGGGGTCACGATCATGGCGAGCGGCCATCTATATAGTCGGCCTTTCGGCAGCGCCATCGAGAGACGCGGGGAGCACGACAAGAGGCCGACGGCTGCTCGTGGTCTGGCGGACGGGGTACTGTACTGCACAGTACCGGCAGCCTATTCGCTTGAGCGTCGTGGTCCGCCGGGCCCTCGAGGATGCCGCCGCCGCCGCCGCCGCCGCCGCCGCCAACCAAGATGCGTGGGGCAAGGGGGCAACGCAGGCGGAGGCAGAGATGCGAGCCGGCGGCGGGCGGAGCAATCGTCGTGCCTGAGCCAAAGAGGGCAGCGATACGGGAGCGTCTCCCAAAGGGTGGTGGCAGGCAGGCAAGCCGTCGCTCCGAGCGGAGCGGAGCGTCGAGGTGCGGCCTTGCCCTCTGAGCTCCCCGTGGCCATGGGCACAAGCACGCCCTCTTTTGTTCTTTGCTCGCCTTGATGCACGCTCGGCTCAACGGCTTCCGCGCAGCGACATCTGTCCGAGGAGCACAGAGCAGACAGGCCTGGCGGGGCCCACTTTGACGGCGCAGATGATATCGTACGTAGCGAGCAAAGCCTCGGCCCGGCGAGACAAGGCCTATCTTGTGACTGCCAGGCAGCGCGGGCAGTAGTGGGTGTAGCCACCCCCCTCGCCACCGTCGTCGTCCAAGACGATGCTCAGCCGCCCAATCTCCTTGCGCCCAGCGATCAATCTGAATGGTCACAGCGCTGCCTGCCAACGCCAAACTAAGACTGGCAGACGAACCCAAGGCGACCGAGCACGGGCACCGACTGAGCGCGCAGCCGGCCAGGGCGAGCGAGGGTCGCTGGCCACCTCGCTTTCGTCTCGGCCGGGTCAAAGGGCGTCTCTCAAATCACCCGCGGCTCCGCTCATTCTCACTCCCCTCGCACTCGTCATATCGCCATCGGGCATGCCTCAAAGAGGGCCTGTGCACCCACGCCGCCGGGTGGAGAAGGGCCAGCAGGCTCGCTAGGCAGGGGGCTGAGGCGGTGTCGCAGGCTACGGTGGGCCAAAGTCAGGCCGGCCGGCTGCCAAGGGCGAGGAAAAGCTAGCCCGCCAGGCTGCTTTGCCCGCCTGCGCCTCAACCTGCGTCTGCGCCCGCACGCCGGCCAGACCGCGCGTCATTCTTGATTCCCTCATGGACGGCGGCGACGACGGCGGCAGCTTCCATCCTTCCTCGTCTTCCATCGCATCGCCTTCTGACTACACTGTCCCTCGCTCGATCGTCCCCTCTTGCCCGGATACCACCATCCTCGATATTTTCGCCGTCGGTAGCAGCAAGTAGCCCCATCAACCACCGCAGCACCGCACCGCCCTTGCACTCGCACCTCGAGGATCCTCGTCATCTTCGTCCGTCGCATCGAACAAGCAAAGCCAAAGCCAACCGCGGCCGCCTCTCGTGCTCAAAACACGCTGGCGTACAGCCCTGCCTCGCCCCTGCCCTACTTCCTCTCGGCTTTAACAGCGGCCCACGCTAAAGCTCTTCTCGCCATGGTGAGCAGGCCGCTGCCGCCGCATCTCGACATGAGCTCTCCGTCTCGCCGCGGATGGTCGTCGTCACGCCGCTAAACGCCCGCTCCCCCTCTACTCCATCCTCACCCTCCTCCACCCGGTCGCAGGCACGACCCTCGGCGTCGACCCCGCACCTCATCTGGGCGGCGGGCCACTTTCTCTGCTTCTTTGCCGGCCTCCGCTACCTCCTCGCCACCGTCATGCTCGGAACCACCAGCGGCGGCCTCGCACGCTGGTACGCAGCCACCTACATCGGAGCCATCACCAGCTACTGCGTCGTCGTATACAAGAGCTTTGGCGTGAGTGGCCGCATAGGCGCCATCGCCCGCTTCACAGTCCAGCCTGGCCTGCCCGCAGAACCGCAGCTGATCCCCCCTCTCCACGTGCCCACGTCGCAACGCGGCCCCACACCCGCCTTCCTCGGCCTCTGACGCACAACAGGTGCCGCAGCTGTCGCGACCCTACATCCAGCGCGCGCTGATGGACGAAAACGTCCAGTACCTCTTCCTCGCCCTCTACTGGTTCATGACCAAGCCCATCTTTGGTGAGCCGGCAGCGCACATGAGCAGCGCCATTGCCCAGAGACGAGCGCCGTTCTGACGGCATCCATCTCGCTCCCCCTGACCCAACCTTCCCCTGGAAACCGCCGCAGTCACCCTGATCCCCTACGTGACCTTTTCGCTCTTCCACGTCCTCACCTTTGTGCGCACCACCGTCATCCCGATGGCGTTCCCCTCGGCCACCCCTGCTCCTGCCGCGGCCGGCGGCAACGCGGCACCCGCGCAGCCCGCCAGCGCCCCCGCCAAGGCGGCCAAGGTGATCCAGGGCTGGGTCAAGGCCAACTACGACCCCGCGATGCGGTTTGTGGCGTACGCCGAGGTGGCCATCTTTGCGCGGGTGCTGTTTGGCGCGCTCCTCTTCCGCAACAGCCTGCTGGCGCCGCTGTTTTACGCCCACTTCCTGCGCCTGCGCTTCTACATGAGCTCGTTTACGCGCGCCGCGTTCCAGCACGTCAAGACGGTGCTCGACGGATACACGCAGCACCAGAGCTGCCCGCCCGTGGTGCGCAAGGCGTACCTGACCCTGACCGACCTGGTGAGTGGGCGCCGCGGTGGTGGCCTGCGCTCCAGCCCTGCGAGGCGATGCAGAGGGGCTGACTGTTTGGCTTGGCGTCGTTACCTTGCACTTGGCCCCGACAGATTTCTCGCTACGCCAGCTCTGTGCTGAGCGTGCAGAACCAGGGCGCCCAGCCTGCTGCTGCGGCGGGCAACGCAGGAGCCGGTGCGGGAGCTGCGCCCCGACGATGAGCGCGAGGTCGAGGTGTGGGGGGCAGACGACGAGAGGCGCCTCGCCGGGTGTCGCGCGCGATGCCAGCCAAGCGAGGGGCCGTGGCACGACGAGATGCGACGGCGGAGGCCTGTCGGGATGTACAGGCAGCAGAGTCGTCCTGCTGGTGCTGGAAGCAGAGCGGCCGATGCGCTCGCGGCCGTTGTCGATGTCGATGTCGATGTCGTTGTCGAGGTCGACAATGCAATTGTGGGACGCCTCGATGTGGCCATCAATCATCCGCAGCAAGTGGAAGAGGACGTGGGCCATGCCAAGAGTGGGGGGCGCGAGCCGGAGGGTGGTTGATGCGACGACGAATGGCGGCCCTCGTTTGCCTCGAAGCAGCCAAGTGTCGAGGAGTCGAGCGCATGGAAAAGGAAGACATGACCGGATGTAAATGTGAGCAAAGGCCGCATCGATGACGGGTCGGTCGATGTTGAGCCAAAGACGTCTCGAGGGCATGTATGGGTGTGGTCTGTGGGCGGCGCACGTTCGGGGGGGCTGCAGGCTGGGCGCGCAGTCAAGGCAGGGTCTCTCCCCCGCAAACGCACGCTGCTCGCCTGGCTGGGCTGACGGCTGATGATGCCTCCACCCGCTTTGCTCGCTCGCTCGCCGCGCGCTGCTTGCCACCGCACTGACTCGACTCGACCCGACCCCATCCCGACCCCAACCCCGCCACTTGCAACCCCACCTTGTTGGCCCTTTTCCCCACACCACCACCACCACCACCACCACCACCACCACCACCACCACCACCACTGCTGCCATCCACCGACTTGACCGATTTTGCTCTCTGCTCTCGCCATCGCCACTACCCCGCCCTTCCCTCCTCGCATCGCCGTCGCCGTAGCCCCCAGCACACTGGCCTTTCGACATTCAGGGATCCCTCCCCTATCTCCCGCACGACCTCATCGACCATCTGCACCGACATCCGCCCTCGCGCCTACTACCACTCATCGACCGATATTCCCGCCTTTCGGGTTGCTTTTCCTCACCCTCGACAACATCCTCTCCTCTGTCCACTCGTCCGCAGCGCCGTCTCGACCTCTGCAGCAGCAACGCCACCCGCTTCGCCCCTCACCCTCTTGCCCCCGCCCTCCATACCCACGGCCATGATCGACCGGATACGCCTCGTCGTATAAACCCAGCCAACCCCATACATCGCCACATCACTCGGCTTGCAATCTGCCGTCCCCCGCCTCATCACGGCCCACTTTCCTGGCCTTGTTCCGGGCCTGCCCAACCGCGCCTGGCATGCTGAACCAGGACCTCGACCAACGACACCTCGCATCGGCGCCCGCACCCTCGACCTCCGCATCACCAACAGCCACACGCTCCTCGCCGGAGAGCACCGACACCTCGGCGTCCAACACCGCACCAGCCACACCCCCTTGCTTTGCTGCCAGATCTGCCTCAGCTTCGACCGACGCCATCGCCCTCTGCGGCGACGAGTCAATCGCAGCAAACTCGGACCGCCCCACGCACAGAGGAATCACATCGCAACCTCGCATCAGGCCTCAGCAGGGTCACTTGCTGTCGTCGTACGACCCCAAGCAGGATCCGTACACTGCCAGCATGGAGGCCAAGCTGCCCACCTCGCCTCCAACCCGCCCCGTCTCGACCTCCTTATCCAATTGCCTCGATCTCAGGCAAGAGGCAGCAGCCCGCCTCCTCACCAGCTCGACCGTCGTCCATGAACAGCCGAGCATGGAACAGCCAACCCGCACTGCTCCAGCCTTTAGCCCCACGGATCGCGCTTCTGCTGATGAGGCTTCGTTCGCCGACGACGTTAACGACGACGACGACGACGGCGACGAGCACGACGACGAGACCGACGGCTTCTTTTCCCTCGACATGGACCTCGACATCGACGCTCCTCCATCGCAGATTACACCCGGTCGTGTCCTCGGACAGTCGCCGCTGACTGGGTCCTCGACGCCTGCCAGCCAACAGGCCGCCCCCGCCGCCCCTGCCACGGCCGCATCCGCCCACCGTGCCTCGTCCTTTGGCGCCAGCCACAGCGCCTCGCCGCTGCCCAGCTTCCGTCGACGCGACAGCCGGCAGGACGACACCGCACCTTCGCCGTCGTTCGGACCCATCGTCCCCGAGGTCGACCGACGCGGCAACCTCGAATACAAGCTCAAGATCCTTCCGCCCACCCGCGAGCGCTTCGACCGCCTCGTCACGCAGCTCAAGTGGCGCCTGCTCGAAGGGGGCGGACTCGCCGTCTACGAGATTGGCGTCCTCGACGACGGCACCCTCATCGGGCTCGACGGCGCGTCGATGCGGGACTCGCTCAAGCTGCTCAGCGCAATGGGTCGCGAGGTGGGAGCGCGGTGCGAGGTGCGCCGCGTGCTGGCCCTCGAGCGGCAGGCAAAGCAAGGCAGCGCCCTCGGCAGCCCACCTTCTTCCCCCGATCCCAGCGAAGATGCCGACAGTGCAAAGGGGAGGGACGGCGGCGCCATCAGTGTCAGGGCGCTCGACGATGCCGAAGCGCGGCAAGTGCTCACGCCGGTGGCAGGATCAGCGCCCTCTGAGGATGGGCATGAGCATGCGTTGCACGATGCGGCAGGGGCGGACACCGTCGGCAGCTATGGTTTTGCGCTGAGCGATGGCGAGTACGGCGACGATGACGACGATGATGACAATGACGACGACGAGAGTGCGGGCAACGAGGCCGAGAGCGCCACGGCGGACGGCATGCTACCGGGAGGCCCCTCTGACAGGGGCGCTGCGATTACGCCCCCCGGCGCCATCGAGGTCGTCGAGTCGTCGGACGAGGAGGGCTTCGGCTTCTCGCTTTCGATCGATGGCGACACAGCCAGCGATCTCGGGGCGCAGCCTGGCGCGCCACCCACAGCCGACGAAGCGGGGACCGCACACTCCCCTCCGTTTCCACCAGATGTCGTCTCTGCAAACGGCTCGCGGTCGAACCGTGACGTCTGCCTCGCCGGGGGAGGTGCCGCAGATTCCAGTGAAGGGCGACTGGGCCCTTTGGACTTTGCTGCCACGCCGGAAAATGCTCCGGCTACTCTCGAAGCTAACGGGCACGCCGGGGATGCGCCCGCCGCACGGTTAGAGGACAGCAACGGCGCGCAAAGCGCGGGCCAGGCCACTGCTGTGCCTGTCGCCATGCCCGCAAACGGAGTGGAACGCCACGTCGACCAGCCGAGCTCAAACGACGAAGCAGACCCACCGGCCCTCGATCCCGACTTTGCCGCCATCGACGTCAAGGGCCTCCAGTCGTTTGCCCTGGCCAACGGAGGAGCACGCAACGGACTCAGGGACGGCTCGAATCCCGGCGCGACTCTGGTCAACCACAGCGCCCCGCTCGGTGGCCGGCGTGGCAGAGACGGCCGGGTGCCGTTCGCCGACCCGGCGCTGATCGTCGATCCCGTCTCGCCGACCGACTACGAGCTGCTCGTCGGGCGACAGGTCAAGGTCAATGTCGGCAAGCTGCCCAAACGGCGCGGCAAGCGGAGGGGCGCCAGCGGTTGGCGGATCGACAGCGAAGACGACCGCGACGGGACGGGCGCGTCGCTGGAGCGCCGCATGCGTCGTCTCGCCGAGCTCAAGGCGGCCGAGCGAGCGGGTGCCGGTCAATTGCCGGCAGCAGGCTCTGGAACCAACGGTGCTCTCCGGCAAGACGCGTCGGGCATCAGCAACAGCAACAGCAGCAGCGGCAACTCGATTGCCCAGGAGCTCGTGCAGCAGATGCTGGCGCTGCAGCTGGCCTACCCGGAACTGCGTCCCCGGCAAGACCAAGGCGACGCCGGCATCGCCGAGGATGGCGGCAGCCACGGGTCGTCAGATGGCCGGGCCGCCGTGTACCGGCAGCCGCCGTTCAAGGCCTTTGACCAAGACGCCGTGTCGCCGTTCCTCGCGCTCGACGACGCCGAGATCGAGAGCGCGCGCGACGCCGACGGCATCCGCGAGCTGTTCCAGCGCAAGCGACAGGAGATCCTCAAGGCGCGCCGGGCGTACAAGCAGAGCCAGCGCCACCAGCAGCAGCAGGTTGCCGCGCAGGCCACCGACGAGTCGGGCGCGAGCGGCATCACGTTTCTCGATCCGTCCACGAGGGCCGATGCCTCCCGACGCCGTGAGGCAGACACTTCGGCAACAGGGCCGCTCTCCGTCGACGACCTGGAAGCGCTGCGACAGGCAAAGATGCAGGAGGTGGCAGATACCTCGCAGCCCAAGACGATGCGCGCACAGGCCCGCGCACGCGCTGCCGCCCTCGCCGCCGCCGCTGCGGCCACCTCTGCGCCTCCCAACCACCCGCCTCTTTCCTCGATCTCTGCGACTACGACGACGACACCGGCGGCGACAACGACGGGCAACGAGGCGGGCGCCCCGCCCCATCTGCCTCCC